TGAGAGCATTCACACTACAAATCAGCCCCCCTCCAACTACTCACCTTCTCTAGTGGTTGTTACACATTTACCAGCATACCAAAGGCTAACAACCAAAGTCGGAGCTCAGTTTTCCTCATAAGGAAAGATTTCCCCCAAGATCTTTCTGTGCGTTTTTTTTTTTTTTTCTCAAGTAATGGATGCTACCCAGGTCCTCTAACAATCCTGTGCCTCACAAACTGGGGCTTTCCTCTTATTAGTATTTCACTTCTCTCTGGCAAAATAAAGCTAGGCATTATCTGGGTTTCTAAACACACAGCAGTCATTTATAATCACTGTTAGGATCAGGAGAAAGAAAAGTTTAGAAAGATTACTAATAGATGGAAATAAAGTAGTACTTAGTAGCTTCCAACAATACTCTGTTTTGTCATAATACTAAAGATATGCCATGTGATATACAACACTATACATGCCTCCTCCAAACCTTTAATGAGGGTGGAAGCTAAAAGAAACGATAGAAAGTAAAATCCCACCATAATCCCTAACAAAAAAAAAAGAAGGAATCTGGTTATATCATCCTATGGTACTATGACAAATCGTAGTGCCAGCAGAACACCTTTCTGATCTTCCCAGAAAATTCCAAACTTTGTATGCAAGAAATTTTATTTATTTATTTATTTTTATTTTTTTGGCAGCACTGGCATTTGAACTCAGGGCCTCACCTTTACTAGATAGCTGCTCTTATCACTGGAGTCACTCTACCTGCCCATTTTTGTGATGGATTTTATCAAGATAGGGTCTTGCAAACTATTTGCTCAGGGCTGGCTTTGAATTGTGATTCTCTTGATTTCTACATCTTGAGTAGCTAGGATTACAGGCATGAGCCACTGGTGCCCACTGTATGTGAGAAATTTTTAGCAAGTTCCTAGGCTGCTGGGTTGAAAGGAAACCCAGCTTGAAGAGATTGCCTACTGCTAGAAACAGAAAGTAGAATGGCGGTTGCCAGGAAGCAGGTAGATGGGGTCAGGGAGTTGTTCAGTGGATAGTTTCAGTTCTGCAGGACAGAAAAATCTTAGAGATGTGTGGCATAACGATGTGCATACTGTTAAGCATACTGTACTATACACCTAAGTGGTTAAGATGGTGAATTTTGACGTGTTTTTTTTAAACCACATTTTTAAAAAAAGATAGGTTTGCCCCATTAGGTCTCGTCACATGGCTAGTATTGAGGCTGGTTCATACTAGACTCTTAATAAATATTTGTGACCGAATCAAAGGCAGAACAATTAGGAAGGGATAAGAATCAGTGAATTTGGGATTAAATGGCTATGATTAAATGACTGACATGCATTTCTAATTCATCTAACTTCTGGGTGTCCTGTGATGCAAGAACATGACTTGCAGGAACTCTGGGATTTGCCATTCTTCCTGTCCTTTTCGGATCCTGCTTTTGAGTACATTTTACAATTAGTGTCTCTATTTATCCAATCCCTCTCTCTCCTTTTTCAAGGCCAAACTTAACTCATCTCTCCTCCACATTCCTTCCTTTCCTTCTTTTCATTCCTTTCCTTCCTTCCTTCCTTTCTTTTTTGGTAGGACAGGTTTGAACTCAGGGTTTTGTGTTTACAAAGCAGGGGCTCTATCACTTGAGCCATAACTCCAGTCCAATATGCCCTTTTCTGACCACTGAAACCAAAGAGGTCTCTAACAGGTACCAACCCCACTGGTAGTACTGGTCTTCTGGCAATAATAATACTTATACTATTCTGTCCTTTAAGAACAAAATCTTTTATCATACTTCTATATCCTTCAAATGCCTCAACTAGAAACACAGAGTAGGCACTAACTCTTAAAATACTGATGGTTGAACGAAGGCAGATAAAGCAAGATTGAGCCAGTAATTTACGTGCTTTCCAATAGGATATTTCAAAGGCATAAAACTGGTCATGAATGAGACTGAAAAGAATAAGGTAATCAAGAAACGGTTACTTCGAACCCTAATTGTCACTATATTTTTTAGACATTTAGGACTCTAGAGAATCTTCTGTAAAGGTCTGCTATGAAGCCCTGGCTTGCCTATAAGGAAATCAGAGCTGATATAAATCAATGTCATAGCATTTATAAACCAAAATAAACAGTGAAAGCCTACTAGGAGCTCAAGATACTCAATGAGCATTTTCACAGGTCTGATGGTTTTAGAGCATAGAAAGTTTGAAGTACTATTCAGCTAATAAATCCTAAAATGTTGACCATTTAGTCATGTTGAGTATTAACTCATTAAAAAGCTCTGCCCTCTGTGAAGCCAATAAAAATTAACAGAAAACTGTCAACTATCTTCTACATGTCTGAAAAGAAACCCCAGAGTGAGAGACTGGGCTTTGTTTAATCAGCAATGATGCATCACCTTGAAATGCTTAAAACAGAGGCCAAGAGTATATGAAGAGGTTGTCAGAATACAAGAATTCACATTCTCTTGCCAGAAGAAAATGGCAGACTGAGCAGGCAGATATAGTAAGGAGCCCTGTCTTGTCTGCTAACTTACTAAATGCTATAACTCTACTTAATGCCTATTTATGGTCTTTAAGTTTTATTTTAAACGTACTTTAAAATCTACTAGGGATTAAATTCCTGATTTTTTTCCCCCCTACTCAGTTAGCTGCTAACAGCTGCAGGGCCCTACTGCATGCATCCCAAAGCCAGTACTTTCAGAAGCTGTAAATACTATCAAGGGACATTAGCATTGTTGTTCATAAGTGAAGGGAGAGAAGTACTCCAACATTTGTTGGTGATAAACAAGGTTGTCAAATACCCCTAATATGATAGTGCTGACAATAAAACCAAGTGCACTATAATGCTGTCATTTAGTACCTTTCAAAGGCAGTTAGGGAAGGGAAGCACTAATGATTTTGAGGCTGGTTTTGAAAAAGGTTCCAGGATAGTAGTACTCTTCCAAGCTCCTCAAGTGAAAAGGATTGTTAAGAAAGGTAGTGAGTATACAAAAATTCTACTGACAGCAAGGACTATACTTAGATCTATACTTAGATTACTCACCATTGATCCCCTCTACCCAGCAACACATCTTTTTTTTTTTTTTTTTTTTTTGCTGTACTGGGGTTAGAACATAGGACCTCATGCTTACTAGGCAGGCACTCTACCACTTGAGTCAGTCCACCAATGAAGAATACACCTTATATTGCCAGGGCATAATTATTTAGTCAATAATTATTTACTGACTAAGTAAATCTGGTTAGTTTTTTGGCATGTTTTTTGGGGGGTAGGAGATAATACTGTGGTTTGAACTCAGGGCTTCGCCCTTGCTAGGCATAGGTTCTACTGCTTGAGCCATGTCTCCAGTCTAGTAAATAAATTTGAGAGTTGTTGTCTCTTTCATGTTCTTGGATAGGTACTCACCCTCTCCCTTGGAACTGCCTCATTTCTGGCTTGTGGACTCTTTTTGAAAGGCACTTTCATGACTTTATTTAACTTTGAAAGAAGCTGAAGGAGGATAAGGACACCTGCTTGCTATTCATCCTTTTCCAGACTGCCTCATATACCAGAATGGGTTCTTATTATTGGTTTGTAACTGCTATTGCTGGAGAAAGATTTCAGCCTGACCTTCCCAAGCTGCTGAGGGATGAAAGCTGCACGTGGCTGACAGTGAAAATGTGTCTTCCTGATTTTTTTTTTTTTTTAAAGCTTCCAGACTAACCAGAGCTCACTGTGATAGGAAAGTCACCCCTCTCTCACTATACAAAATCCATGTTTTTTAAACCCTCTACATAAAAATGAGATAGTAAAATTGACATGAACTGCGCCAACAGGAAAAGGTAGAAGCATCAAGAGGCACTTTGCAGAGAGTGCCAGCATCAAAGAATAGGACCCTGTACTACTCCATAGGCAGAGAGGAAAAAAGAAAACGAAAGCCATTTATAAAAGCAGCTTTAAAAGTGAGGATGGATTCACACAGCTGGCTTCACAAAAGAGGACAAATATGTCAAAGGGAACGAACTGACAGACTAATAGAGTCCATCCATCTGGCTGAGGAAAGAACCACTGGGGGGAATACTGAGAAGCCTGAATGTTAAGAAAAAGCTTGCCTGGTGCCTCATTGGGTGAGCTGAATAGTTTTTAGGAATGTCAGAACACATGGTTATACCATAGCTGCTGGCTGGTCTTGCCAGTAAGATTATCAGAAAAGGGTTACAATGATGCGTTGGCAAGAAAGGGAGAGAAAGCATATGTGGTCTATTTATTGGCTTGCAATCTATATCTTGGACTCTCCAATTTGGGAATAGGACGGAAAGGAAGGAAGAGGAATTCTATGAATAAGCTGTCTTATTTTGTGCTTTTAAAAACAGGACTCAATAGCTTCAGAATGAAACATCAGGTTCAACCCCATGCCATGCTAAAGACCCATCTGGACTTTTATATAATGCAGAGCTGAGCTCAGGCGCTTTGGGAGAAGGAGAAATCAGGCCAGACTCAAGGAAAACAAACACACAGGCTATTTGAATCTTCAACTCAGTCCACATCATAGAAAAACCTGCTCAGAAATAACTGCTCAACACAAGAGGAACTCAATTACCAAAGAAAACCTGTCCTAATGAGGGCTCATGTTTTAACAAGCCAAACAAGTTCAAATTAGGCTGAACTCACAGGGTTTTCCTAGTTGGCATTTTCATCCATTTCTAAGTTCTCATTTCTTACTTTTAAAAATCAAGATGACTCTGATTAAAATTAAAAACAATAATGCCTTATCACCTACTCTTAAAACAGTAACTCTCCAAAATTTCACTGGCATATCTTTCATATAACTAAATAAACCCTTCTGACGACACAAATGAAGAAGGTACTACTGTACTGAAAGTACTATCAAGCAATCCTGCAATAATTCCTCTGAGCAGCCTGGCTCTTGCCATCTCTGCTCAAAGCTCAGTCACAGAATCCCCTGCTATCATACAGAATGCAACTGCTTCACCCTAGCCACCAACTAGGTCACTCTCTGGGTAGTAATGGCTTACCTGTTCCTCTGACAGTTGAGATATGTGATTCACAGCTGCGTAGGACTCAATTTTGGGATTAAAGTGGTTGATGATGGCTCTGAAAGAAAGAGTTAACATTAATATTATACCAGATGGAAGAAGAGGATAAATCAGTTAAAAATAAGGATTGAGTATCCTCTGGTTTAGCGTATTGGAGTATGGGAGTGATTATAAGAGGGTAACTGTCCTCTTACTGGATGAATGGGAGTGAACTGAAAACTCTGAAATGGAGGGTTTAATAACATATTATATGAAGGAGAATGAAGCACCTCTGCTATGCAAACGAAGTAAGGAGAAAAACTCATAACCAAACAACAACAGCAACAACAAAAAAACATGCCAAGAGTACTTTAAACAAGAAACAGGACACAGGGAGCTGTCCACTAGGGGGCCCTGGTGTTCTAAACACAAAGAAGTAGTCTTTCCTCTAACTTGGAGAACAGGGGACTCAGCAAAGCTGGTCCACAAGTCAGCTAAATACAGTGTCTGAAGAAGCTGAGCTTTATCAAAGCCTAGAAAAAAATCTTCATACTTGTTAGCATGTAGTTTCAAATAAAAAATTTAATTCCAGGCATTCAAACCAAAGTCAGTAATATTTTCCAATGTTTCCTATCATTTGCTCACATCCAAGGTTACCACGTCTTAACAAATCTTTCAAAAATCTCTGAAATTTGAAATAAATAAATCTCCCTAAAACTAATGCCTTGCTATATGTTTTGTCATCTGTTAGCTGGTGTAGCAGAAATAACACAAGTTTTAAACCAAAGTTTGATATGAGTCTATACTGATATAAATAAATGATTAGATAAATGAGGAAAAGAGCCAAATTATTCCCACCTAACAATGTCCAGTAATATAAGTGGACATTCCCTTCTATAGGAGGTAAAGTTTAATTTCCACCTGCACTAAGGATGGCTAGAAAAAGTAGTAATTTTACAGTAAAGAAACATGATGCATACTGCACCTTGACCCTGTGATGAAGATTAACATCACCAGTGATATCACATGTAACCCCTAGTATATCATGAGAAGGGCATTTCACCTGTTGTACACTTCCAAAAACCTATAATTTAAACATAAGATAAACTTCATACAGTGCTGAACATGGTGATACATGCCTGTAATTCCAGCACTTGGGAGGCAGAGACAGGAGGATTTTATTGTCAAGACTGGTCTTTTTTTTTTTTTTTTGGCAGTACTGGGACTTGAACTCAGGGCCTTCACCTTGAGCCACTCTACCAGCCCTATTTTTGTAAAGGGTTTTTCGAGACAGGGTCTTGAGAACTATTTTCTGGGCTGGCTTCGAACCCTGATTCTCCTGATCTCTGCCTCCTACGTAGCTAGGGTTACAGGCATCAGCCACCAGCACCCGGCTCAAGGCTAGTTTTGGTTACATAGCAAGATCCTGTCTCAAAAAAACAAGGCTGGGGATGTAGCTCAGTGGTAGAATGGTTGCTTAGCATGTGTAGGCCCTGGGTTTCATTCCCAGCACTGCCCCCCCCCCAAAAAAAAAGGAATGAAGAAAAATATCAGACAAATCCAGAATGGGAACATTCTACAGGATACCAGTACTCCTTAAGACTGTAAAGGTGGACTGGAGGAGTGGCTCAACTGGTAAAATTGCCTGCCTAGCACTGAGTTCAAAACCCCAGTAATGCAGAAAGAAAAGAAGAGAAGAGAAAAGAAAGAAAAAAGACTATAAAGGTCATGAAAAACAAGACTTGACAAAATGTCACAGATCAGAGGACGATGAAGAGACATGACAACCAAATACAGTATGGTACCCTGGACTGGGTCCTGGAACACAAAGAGGACAATGATGGTTGAACTGGTGAACTTTTAATAAAATGTAAAGTTAATAGTGATGTATCAATGTCAGTTTCTTTGTGTTGATTAATGTACTATGCTGACATAAGATGGACAAGACTAGGCTGTGGGTATACAGGAATTCTGTGTATTTGTGTACTTCTGTAAATCTGAAATTACTCTAAGTTAATTAAAACGTGTGTGAGGAGAGGAGTGAAAGGAGATGAAGGTGAAGGAATATGGTTGATGGGCTTTATAGACATAAGAAATAGAATGATAAAACCTTTGTAATTGCTTTAAGTAGGATGGGGAAAGCATGGGGGGAGAGACAGAGGGGGCGATCTAACCAATGTACAATGTAAGGCTATTCGGAATTGTCACAACAAAGTTCTCCCCTATACAATGAATATATGCTAATAAAATGGGGGGGGAACACATATGCATGAGATAGCATAACAGAAATCAGTATTTCCTTCCTTTTTTTTTCTATTTTTTTTTTTTTTTTGGTAATACTGGGGTTTGAAGTCAGGGCCTCACTATTGTTAGGCAAGCACTTTTAACATCTAAGCCACACTCTCATTCCAGTATTTTCTTTTAATATAGTTTATTGATAGTACACCAAATTCAAGCCCTAGCACTGCCAACAAAAAACTATAAGCCAGAAACTTTAAAAAAAAAAAATCATGGTTTGGAATCCTAGTTTGACTAGTTATTCTTGACTGATTTTTGGCAAGCTGTATGTAGCACCAGAGGAAAAAGTGGAAATAATAATACCTACCACAGCACTTAGCAAAATACCTGGGAAAAATATATTATAGGCATACATACATAAATGTTTGCTGAGTGAGTGACTAAACCTTAAAAGGTTCTTGCAATATTTATGTAATATTATAAAACATAAATATAATTTATATGACAGCATATATTATAAGAAAAACCTGGAAAAGCAATGTCAAACATCTAGCACAATGTCTGGCACACAGCTGGTACTCAATAAATATTCAATGAATGAATAAATCAAATAGGATAGAAATGGGTCAGGAGCAAGAAGAGAGTTCTGTTAACTTACTTTTCCACAGACTATCAAGGAGAGGCAGGACATAATATTTGCAGGTTATTAAGGTTGAGGCTTGGTCTAAATACAAACTGGAAAAGAATTCTGTGACCTGTGGTGAGCTGACAGATGTATCGAATAAGCTGTGTGTTTGAGTTTGGCACAGCCCCAAACCGCAGAAGGGAGCAAGCATAGTTATACCCAATAAATTGCACGCTTGAGTTGGCACAGCCTCAACTGCAGAAGTGGGCAAGATGTTTACACCTGTTTTTCCTAAGATGCTTATGTTCAGAGAGAAGCTGTCACAGGTTTCTCCTGTTCCCGAGGATTACAATGTCACACCCCCCTCCTCGGAGAAATGCCTCTACACTTCCTGTTGCTACTGTATATAATAAACTCACTGGAGGTGGAGGGGGCTGGTGTGTCTCCATCCGAGTGCCCAGCATACCTGGCCCCAGCTTTATGCATGTTTGGTCTTCTGTCTGTTGTCTTTTCTGCATTTCCCATCACCCCCTTAGTTAAGGTTTCTAGGACAAGCTCGCCTGGTACCCGCGAGTGACCGAGTAGGGATCAAATTCATTTCTCAGAGAGTGAGGTTTGAGTACACTGGCAAGATTGACCACAGCCCAGAAGCAAACAAATCTGATACTTTAAAAGAAAAATTACTCAATTTGGATTTCATCAAGTTTAAAAGCTTTTATGTTACAGGTGGCTCACACCAGTAATCCTAGTTACTCAGGAGGCAGAAATGAGGATTGAGGTTCAAGGCCAGTCTAGGCAAAAATACCCAACACACAAAAAAAGAGCTGGTGGAGTGCACCAAGCATAAGGCCCTGAGTTCAAACCTCAGTACTAAAAAAACAAACAAACAAAAAAGCAAATATTGGCAAGGATGTGGAGAAACTGGAACCCTCATACATTGCTGGTAGAAAATGGTATAGCTTGTTTGAAGTGGCAAATGTTAAAGATACAGTTATTATATGACCCAGAAAGTCTACTGCTAGGTATCTATCTAAAAGAATAAAACCATGTCTACAGAAAAACTTATACAAGAGTGCTCAAAGCAGTATTATTCATAATAGCCAAGATGTGGAAACAACCCAAATGTCCATCAGCTGAGGAGTGGATCAACAAAATATGGTACAGCTATAAAGGAATACTATTTAGCCACAATAAGTAATGAAAACATGCTACAACACAGATGCACCCTGAAAACATGTTAAGTAAAAGAAGTCAAATACAAACACACATATCGCATGATTCCTCTTATATGAATGGTCCAGAATAGGCAAATTTTTAGATAGAATATAAACCAAGGGTTGCTTAGGGATAGAAGGAGGATCAAGGAGAAATGGGGGATGCTAATGAGTACAAAAAATATTCTAATATTAGACTGTGGCAATGGTCACACAACTTTGTGATTACACTAAAAAAAGCAATGAACTGTACAGTGTAAATGGGTAAACTGTATCATAAATGAATGATTAAGGCCTCCATGGCCCTGCAGCTCTTGAGCAGGCTGCTTTCCCCAGACAATTCTGCATGGATTTTATAGATCCTAATTCAATCACCAAGAGAACTTTTTAAAGTTTGTATATGCTAGCAATGTTGGTGATAATGGGAAAAGGAGCTCACTGGGCAATTAAATTACAGCAGATGGAGTTTCAGGAGCTTCTGGAGAGAGGCTTCTGTGATGCAGTACTACCAAAATGTATAGCAGAGACATGAGTGAGGCTGGCACTAGATGGCAATGCACAGGAAGAACCAACCCTACCTCAAGGGAAGAAGAGTTCACCTGCAGGGTAATATACATGATATCCTTTAAATAAAAGCCCAGCAATGGGCAAAGGATGTCAACTTTTGCCTATTGAAATAGAATGCTGGGGATTGGGCTGGTGAGTGAGAAGGAAGATTATTATCCTCAACACCCTTGACCTTTTTTGTTTGTTTGTTTGAGACAAACTTGGCAAAAACTTTGGATTTTACCTAGATATTCAGCAGGTAGAGATCAGGAGGATTGAGATTTGAAGCCAGTCTGGGCAAACAGTTCGAGAAACCCTATCTTGAAAATACTCAACACAGCTCTTTCTGCCATCTTGGAGACTGTGGAGGCCTGTTGGAAACAGGACTTCTAAAAGGCAAATATGTCTGGAAGGCTGTGGTGCAGGCCATTTTTGTTGGGTCTCCGGAACCAAAGG